GTTTGGAAATGGAAATATGGTCATCCTAATATATCTAAAAAAGAGATTAAAAGACTACATTGGATATAAAAGATAAAAACTAAACGGTTTTAATCTGAGGTAGAATTAATGTTCTCTTTTCTCCAAACTGATTGGTGAACATCTTTACTTGTTATTAACAACATCTATTCACTTTATGAATGGTTAAAAGTATTTTCTTTCACTTGCAATGTCTGCTCTGGCAGTTAAACTTCTGTTTTAGCTTGTCTCCTCACACATCTCAACAGCCAATCATCTATTCAGTTCAATCAAGTTCATTTCTAAAGCACCAATCAGGACTAGAGTCGTCTCAAGGACCTTCACACAGTAAACACAGGTCATTAAGCCAGTCAGTAACACGTTTCCTATATAAGGAACCCAGCAGGTTGCATCGAGTCACTGACTAGTGTCAGAGTCTTTACAGCAATCCTCATACTAAGCAAGCATGCAGCGACAGTGGAGAGGAAAACTCCCTTTTAACAGGAAGAAACCTCCAGAGAATCCTGGCTCAGTACAAGCAGCCATCCTCCACGACTCACTGGGGATGGAGAAGACAGAGCAGACACACACACACACACACACACACACACACACACACACACACACGCACACACACACACACATACACGCACGCTCACACACGCACCCCCACACACACACATACATGCACGCACGCACACACATGCACAGACACACACACACACACACATGCACACACGCACACACGCATGCACGCACACACACGCACCCACACCCACACACACACATGCACAGACACACACATACACGCACGCTCACACACGCACCCCCACACACACACATACATGCACGCACACACATGCACAGACACACACACACACACACATGCACACACGCACACACGCATGCACGCACGCACACACGCATGCACGCACGCACACACGCATGCACGCACCCACACGCACGCTCACACACGCACCCACACACACACATACACGCATGCACATGCAACGACAAACACACACACACATGCACACTCTCTCTCTCTCTCTCTCTCTCTCTCTCTCTCTCTCTCTCTGCTCTGGCCCATCCACAGGGTGGTTCTGACGTTGGACTCGGCGGTTTGAAGAAGTTCTCCATCAGAAACTCACTCCCATGCTGCTGCTGCAGAGCCCAGAAGATGTGGTCCTCCTTCTCAGAAGAGGAACGGCCAGAGAAGATCTGAACCAGCACGAGTTTGGGTGGAGCCTCCAACAAACCTGGTACCCCAACGGCTGGAAACCTTGTTCTACTCCAGCTTTCACACACCAGATGTGGCTGATTCCACATTTACTCCATCTGGAATTGAAGCTGTCACACAAACAAGGTGGAAAAAGGGATGTGTTGGGAAAGCTTTCCAGATGATCCGACCTGATGTTATCTGACACAAAAACTCCTGTCAAGTTCTGTCTCTATGCTGAAATGTTTTAATATTTAGTCTGCTGATGAGGTAGCCCATGTGCACCCTTCTTATATTAAAACTCCGGATTGGGAATGCCAGCGCCATGGCAACAGGACGAGGATTCCTCTTGGGCTCCCAGATGTCTGCATCTAGTTCTCACCTCCCTCTCTTCCTCTTCTAAGGCTTTTATGGTCAAAACAGGAAGAGAGTGGAGGCAGAACAGAGTCATAGATGGGGCGTGGGGCTGGGGTAGAATGTGGAAGTCTTTCTGCTCTCATGTGCACTCAGTCATCGCAGTAATGGAACGATATGTCAGTCGTGGAAAACCATCTGTCCAACAGGAAGATGAGAGCATGAACATGTCACCTAGAAGGAACCAGCCTGGGAGGGGGGTCTATTGTGTTTGCTGGCAGTGAGGTGGGGGTCATTCCATGCATGCGTTGTACTGCAGGACCTTGGGAAAACTTGACCTTGGAGGAAGGATTTAGCTTTTCCTGACTGAGGTAGAGGCAAAAGGAGAATGCCTGCCTGGAGAAACTCGGCTTGTTTCGGACACCTCCAGATGGTTTTCCAGTCACGTTTAAAAGGCTGGAGTTTGTGTTAATGGCAGTAAAATACAGGAGGTAGAGTTAAACATGCTGTTAAAGGGAGTTTTCCTCTCCACTGTCGCTGCATGCTTGCTTAGTCTTTGCTGTAAAGACTCTGACACTAGTCAGTGACTCGATGCAACCTGCTGGGTTCCTTGTCCAGGAAACGTAACTAACCTGCGTAATGATGACCCTGACCCTACCTGATGAGTAGGTTCAACTGGAATGTTTACTCTGTTAAGGGACAACTCCAGCTGTGATCCGGCGCCACGGCAGTAAACTCAACTGACTGGTTACAGTTTTAGTTTTAGTTGTTTCCCTGCTCCAGCACACTGGATTCAGTGGTTGAATCACCTGCTGCAGCTCATCAGGCTCTGCGGACGCCTGTTAATCACCTGCTGGTTGAAGTCAGGCGTGTTAAATATGGTTATACTGACTTTAGAGGGTCTCTCAGTTGGAGGTGGACTACTGACAC